TTTGAAAATACCAGCCTGGGCAAGAGAACAGACCCCGTCTGTTACTAAAAATAGAAAGAATTAGCAGACAACAATAATAGAAAAACTTAGCCGGGCATGGTGGCACAATGCCTGTAAGTCCCAGTATTCGGGAGGCTGAGGCAGGAGATCGCTTGGCCAGGAGTTGCTGTGGGCAAGGCTGACGCCTGGGCACTCCAGCCCAGGCAACAGAAGTAGACTCTGTCTCAAAAAAAAAAAAAGCCGGGGTGGGGTGGGTGGGGAGCAGTGTGGGAAGAAGGGAGTGGGGAGGTGAGCACAGGCAGGCCAGGATTTTCTCGGGGACCTGGGGGTGCAGCAGGGGGGGGAGGCGCACAGTCACCAAGGCAGTGTAAGCAGCCGAGCAGATGGGCTGGGAAGAAAATCTCGGGGCCTGGCAAGCAGTGGCCTGGGCAGGGCAGGCAGCTGCTGCAGACACAGCTGGCCATCGAGTCCCCAGAGGGTGCCACCTGGCTACTGGACCCACTGAAGAGAAAGGATCTGAACATCTACAGAGGTGTAGGCACATATTTGCTCACCACGACCGCATTTATAACAGCAAATAAGAAACGATGCAAGGCTAGTGTGGCCCACTCCCCTGAAATCTGCAAATACCGCCAGCCCCTCCTCCTGGAGTCTGCAGATACCCCAGCCTCTCCTCCCATGTCTCAATAACAGAACAAAGGCCACAGTGGAAACCCTCAGCTCTTCCCTCTGAAAGTCCCAGCCTGCCTCAGACGGCATCAAAGCCCTCACCCTTTCAACGGCTCGACTTCCCTGGCCCCTCTCTCAGGACCCGTGAACCTCGCCGGCGAGCGCTCAATAAAGCCACCTTTTGGCCCTATCTGTCTTTTCCTCTCGCCACCAAAACTTTACAAAGGATATCCCAAAGGGTTGAATAGAAGGGTGTGTCCACTGGAGGAACCACTGCACGGACTGAAATCCTGTTTCTGATTTGCGTTTACTTTTAACAACAGGTCCCACTTCTCAGAAGGCATCCCGGCGGTCTCCAGCAGGGACACGGAAAGGACACGTGTGGAGACGGGCCACCACGCACGTTCGCACGCAAGGACTGGGGGGAGGGTCCCCACGCCGGTCCTTCCAACCTCAGAGAAGGACAGGTCTGTCTCCAGGATGACGTGGGAGCTGGCGTGGAGGGAAGCCACGTGTGAAGAACACGCTGCACGGGGAAGGAACATGCGTGCACAGGGGAAAGGAACATGTTGCACGGGGAAAGCGGAACATGTGTGCACAGGGAAAGGAACATGTGTGCACGGGGAAAGGAACATGCGTGCACAGGGAAAGGAACATGTGTGCACGGGGAGAACATGCGTGCAGCGGGAGGCACATGGCAAGGAAAATGGGAACACACAGTGCACATGGAAAGGAACACGTGTATGGGGAAAGGAACACAGGTGCACATGGAAAGGAACACATGCGTATGGGGAAAGGGACACGCGTGCATGGGGAAAGGAACACGCGTGCATGGTTGTCCACATCTTGTAAGCACAAAGACAAGCCCCAAATGTAAGATGATCGCCTAGGCAAGGGAGGGACCAGGACCAAGGAGAAAAGGTCAGAGCTGAACCCTCCTCGCAGACCTTGTTTCCTAGATCTGACTCCGCAACAAGTTCAGTTACTCTCGTGGCTACAAAACAGAATGAAACAAAGATTTTAAAAACAGGATCCCAAGAAAGCAAGCAAAGTGAAGCAGGTGAATGTCGCTCCATCTGCAGGCGGAGGGTCAATCAGAGAGGACCCGTGGCCCAAGGCCCCCGGCGTGGTGACCTGAGTCCATGCCCCTGTGGAACAAGCCTTGGGGACCTGTCCTCAGTGTCCTCATAGCAGAGATGCCCCACGTTGTTTTTGTGAACAATTGAACAGTTTTATGAGATGAAGAAATTCTGTTAATGATTAGAAACCAACGTGGTCAGCTTCCGAGGAAAGGAACGCAAATACGGGAATACCAGGGCTGGTAAGTAAGAACCCTGTACCCCTCAATCAGAATTGGAAATATCAGCATGAAATGAAGGTGTATTTTCTCATCTTTAAAAGGCATTTTTTTGGCCGGGCGCGGCCATGGCTCACACCTGTAATCCTAGCACTCTGGGAGGCCGAGGCAGGAGGATTGCTCAAAGGTCAGGTTCAAGACCAGCCTGAGCAAGATGGAGACCCCATCTCTACTAAAATAGAAAAATTAATTGGCCAACTAAAAATATATAGAAAAAATTAGCCGGGCATGGCGGCGCATGCCTGTAGTCCCAGCTACTCTGGAGGCTCAGGCAGGAGGATCGCTTGAGCCCAGGAGTTCTCAGTTGCTGTGAGCTAGGCTGACGCCATGGCACTCTAACCCAGGCAACACCAGGTGAGACTCTGGTCTAAAAAAAACAAAAACAAAAAAACAGGCCGGGCACGGTGGCTCACTCCTGTAATCCTAAGCACTCTGGGAGGCTGAGGCGGGCGGATTGCTCGAGGTCAGGCATTCAAAACAAACTGAGCCAAGAGGCAAGACCCGTACCTACTATAATACCGAAGAGGGGATAATGGTCATATAGCTATATAGACGAAGAAAATTAGCCTGGGCACTGGTGGTGCATGCCTGTAGTCCCAGCTACTCGGGAGGCTGAGGCAGGAGGATTGCTTGAGCCCAGGAGTTTAAAGTTGCTGTGGGCTAGGCTGACGTCACGGCACTCTAGCCTGAGCAACGGAGTGAGACTCTGTCTCAAAAGAAAGGAAACGAAAAGAAATTATTTTACAGAATTCTGCTTCTTTTCCATCAACATTTGCGAGACCAGGCAAGTTCTCTATATTAAACAAAAAGTAAGTTTCAAGTAATATGTATTGAATGATCCAATTTTTACGTTAGAAAATAAATATTTATGGTGCACTTTTTGGTCTAAAGGGTATAGGACAACTTGCTAATATCCCTGGGGGGGATGGAATGACAGCTTTCCATTTTTAGTTACACCTTACTATTGGCACTATTACAATCATTAAAGATAAGAAGCCACTTTAAGTTAAACCAGTGAACCACCCCACAACCTAAATATCTTTTCGTCCGGGGGCCCTCACCTGGAAGAGGCTCGTCTTCATGTACATGGTGCCATAGCCCTCCCGGTGGCTCAGGTAGAATGTGCCGGTGAAACTGGAGCCGTCTGGCCACGTGTAGGTACCCAGGCCGTGGCGGTGGTCCCGGTAAAACTGCCCGCGGTACAGCTGTGAGACGGAGAGCTCAGTGGCCCCCGGTGCCTGAGAAGCGCAGCCCGCGATCGCCCCAAAACCCACAGGGGCCTCGGAGCCCCCACACTGGGCAGCAATCAATGACTGGGGGCTGTCGGGCTGTGTTGGGCCCCTCGGGGTGCCAGCCACCTGCAGCACCTGGAGAGGACCGAAGCCCCCCAAGACTCAGCACACACCCCAGCTTTGCCTCACGCCAGGCTGCTCCGCCCAGCCGGGGGACAGCGGGAGGGACAGCTCTGGCTCCCGGTCCCGACGGCCACGCCCAGCGAGTCTCCCCTGGGGGGAGACTCCGCATGGCGGGGGAGGGGCACAAGGACACAGTCTCATTTTGTCTTTGACAACATCCTTTGCCTGTTGCTGAATCTTAAACACGAGGCAATGTCACCAATGTGAGCATACTACTTGCTGCCATAATGCACAACTTCAAAACATTTTCCCAGAACAAGAATGTATCTCCTTAAGTCACAGCTGCCCAAACCGCATCCTACAGACCCCAGGGCAAACCGTGGGCCTGACTTCTGGAGTCTGGAAGGATGTTTTTCTCTGGACATTTCTAGAGTAGCAAAGACTCCTAGCTTAGCATCTTCCTGTTGATGGACCCAAAAGCGCGGGTCACATCCAGCTCTTACAAGGAGAGAGGCCGGGCACACCCGAGCCCCGGGGCAGGAGGGGGAAGCGGGTTACCTCGCCCGTGGGCCAAGAGAACTCGCCGTATCCCAGCTTCACGTCCAGCCCGAACTCGCCCCGGTAGATGCAGCCGTCCTGCCACTCCTGCTCGCCCCGGACCAGCTGGATGTAGGCCTCCTTCAGGTCCTGCTCCCCCAGAGGGCCCTCCTCCTCCTCCACCTCCTCCTCCACCACTTCCTCCTCCTCCTCCTCCTCAGGGGCTGCCAGGAGGCTCCTGGAAGGGCAGAGCAGCGGGGACAAGAGCAAGCGGCTGGAGCGTCTTCAGAGTGGCTGCGCTGAGCGCAACCCACGGTCTCGGGTCATCCTGACAACCAGAGGCAGGCGCTGATGCCGTCGGAGTGACACAGAAAGGAAACTGAGGCACAGCGGTGAGGGGTGGCCCAGGTCACACAGGACATGGAAAGCGCAGCAAGGGAGCAGACAGGCGAGGGCAAACGGCTGCTGGCCCCACAGGTGGGATCAGCCAGCCCTCCCCCGCCCAGGGCCTGCTGTCTCCACCGCCTGGGCCCTGATGGCCTCTGCCCCGCCCCAGCCGTGTGCTGGGCACAGGTGCACATGGCAAGGTCCTCTCGCTAGAGCCAGCAGCAGCAGCCGGGCAGGAGGCAGACACTCGACACACACGTGTGGACACATGGAGGGTCCGAAAGCAGCTTGAGAGGCGGCCAGCTGAAGCACGCTGGACAGATGGTGGAGGGACACGGGGTGGGCACGGCAACAGGGAGAGAACACGGGAGCAGATGGATTTGTCGTCACTGACAAGTGGGTCCCACCCTGCACCCACCACACACGCCCCCTGCCTCCCTCTCAATGGCACAGAGCTGTGGTGGGGGGTTCAGGCCACGCTGGCTGTCCCTGTCTCCAGGGCTGTCCTGCTGTCAGGCCGGTGGGCTGGCTGGGCAACACGTGGCCTGGGAACTCTCGACTCTGACCACGAGCCCTCGAACACCAGCCACGAGCCACAAAGTCTGAACAAAGCATCTGGTCAGCAAAGAAGGGATTCGGCTGCTGGGAACACAAAGTCTGCGTTTAGCCTTTCGGTTCGCAAACACAGAAAGGAGCCAGGAAGGACAGAGACCGCGCGGCAACGGTTAGGACGCGTGGTGTGGTTGTCTCTGTGCGCACCTGTTGCAGGTTGAGTGCTGCCCCTCATTCTTACATTGGAGTCCTAAAGCCCAGGACCTCCCAGTGTGACATTATTTAGAGATGGGGTCTCTACAGAGGTAACCAAGTTACCGTGTTTCTCCAAAAATAAGCCCTACCCATAAAATAAGCCCTAGCAGGATTTCTAAGCATTTGCCCAATAGAAGCCCTACCCCAAAAATAAGACCTAGAGATGGGCGTGACTATGCAGCGCATCGTCGCGGAGCAGTAAAGAAGACAAGCAGCCCTTCTCATCTGCTCATCGTGACAGCTGCTGTCCCAGAGGTGACCGGAAAGGTGCGGGCAGCCCCACCAACAAGGTCGGCTCCCCCTGGCAGGTCCCAGCCATCCTGTGCGTGCTGCAGGCTGAGGCTTTGAGGGAAAAATAACACATCCCCTGAAAATAAGCCCTAGGGTGTCTTCTTGAGGAAAAATAAATATAAGACCCTGTCTTATTTTGGGGGAAACATGGCAAAATGAGGTCATTAAGGCAAACCCTAATCCAGTATGACTGATGTCCTCATAAAAGGGGAAAATTTGGACATAGATAAACACACAGAGGGAAATAACATGAACAGACAGAGGAGGGACGAGCCACACGAGGCCAGGGGAGAGGCTTGGAACACACCCTCTCACAGTCTCAGAAGGGACCAGTCCCACCAGAACCTGTACCTTGGACTTCCAGCCTCCAGACCTGAGAGAACACCTTTGCTGTTTCAGCCACCCCCAGTCTGCGGTGTTTTGCTGTGGCAGCCCTAGCAAACTCACGCACCTTGCTACTCGGGACAGGTATTTCTTGTTTACTAAGAAATATATATCTCAACAAGGAGCGAAGATAGCCCACAGTGGGAATGAAAGAAACAGAAACTTTAATTTTTTTTTTCCTGAAAAAAAAAAAAAGTGGAACTGATTTTGAGGTCAAGTAGGAAAATCTGTAAGGCCCACTATGGGGTCACCGGAAACGGTCAGCGGGCACACTAGCCAAAAGCCTGGCCACTCGGCTCTGCTGCCTCTGGCTGTTTGGCCCAGATGGGCTGCTTACACCTGTCATGACTCAGTTTCCTCATCTGCAAGACGGGGAGGCCTGCTTGGGCCACTATAACAGAGCGCCACAGACTGGGTGCCTGAACAGACGTCTAGTTCTCACAGTGCTGAAGGGTGGAGGTCCAAGGTCCAGGTGCCCACAGATTCGCTTCCTGATGAGGGCCTGTGGGCAGCTGCCTTCTCGCTGTGCCCTCCCTGTGAGGATGGTGAGAGAGGAGGGAGCTCTGTTCTCTCTTCCTCTCCTTATGAGGACACTAATCGCATCCGTCCCCGAGACCTCATCTAACCCTAACCACCTCCCAAAGCCCCACCTCCAAATACTATCACACTGGGGGGGAGAAGAGCTTCTACATATGCATTTTGGAGGTGCACAAGCATTCAATCCAAACTGGGGACAAATACAATAGTGTTCCAGGGTGGATTTCATGAGATGCTACAGGAAGGCCCTGAGGGCAGCCCCTGGCCCAAAGTAGCCCTTACTACTAACACTTACAGCAGTGAAGAAGCCTTGTTGACTTGGGAAACCCCCATCCCACAAGGGAAATGTACCCTCACATCCCCTAGGCGGTGAAGGGGCCAGGCGCAGTGGCTCACGCCTGTAATCCAGCACTCTAGGAGGCCAAGGCTGGAGGACTGCTTAAGGCCAGGAGTCCAAGACCAGCCTGAGCAATAGTGAGACCCTGTCTCTACGAGACAATTTAAAAATGATCCAGGGATGGTGGTGGTGGACGCAGCTACTCATGGACGCAGCTACTCAGGAGGCTGAGGCAGGAGGATCACTTGAGCCCAGGAGTCTGAGGTTGCTGCGAGCTAGGCTGACGCCACAGCACTCACTCCAGCCTGGGCAACAGAGCGAGTGAGTCCCTGTCTCAAAAACAAAGTTGTCTGCGAGGAGGTGAAATCGGGTGGGCAGAGTGTGCGGGGAACACGGGAAGACCTGGCGTGGACTCCAGTTAGCCATTATGGTCGTTTTTCGTTTTCAGTGGTGGTTGTTACAACGGTGAGGCTTTTTTCTACTTCTCCAGAGACGAGTATTTGGGGGATAAAACAACACTAGGCGATTTTTAACGATGCGCCCCGGCCAACTCCGGGCCCCGGGGTCAGGACCCCACCTCCCTGCGGGGGGCTCCCGCACCTCTTGGAGAAGGCCGGACGGCTCTCCACGAACCCCCGATCCTCGGCGCTGCCCTTGCGCTCCTGCGGGCCCGTGCGCTCCTGCGGGCCCTTGACGCTGTAGGCCTCTGAGACCTCGTAGTCCAAGGTGTAGGCGGAACGACCGCCTTCCATATCTTCGAACCTGGAAGCAAAGTCGGACGGAAACCGCGCGCTCGCCCCGGGTTCCCGCCGGGACCCGCCCCGGGGATCCCGCCAGCCCCCCACGATCGCGCCGGGCCGGCCGCCGCCCCTGCCCGGCCCAGCTCAGCCTCTGGGGAACCAGGTCCCGGCCCTCCGCGGGCCGCAGCCCGGCCGAGGGCGCCCCCGCCCGCGGGCTCGGAAGCTGTGGCTGGGGCGGCGGGACACCCGGTGCGGGAGGTAGGGGCCCCGACTGCATCACAGCCCTCCGCGGCCTGCCCGGGGACGCCCCTGCGGCGCTCCAGCCTCCCGCAGCCCCAGCTCCCGCGCCCCTGCCGCAGGCCGCACCGAGGCCCGGAGAGCTCGCCCCGGACAGCGGCCACCGTAAGCGCACAGCCGCCAAAGCAGCGGACTCTGCGCTCCACTGGACAGCGTCCGGTTTCCTTGGAGACGGGCTTCGCCCCTCCCCCTCCCCATTGCTCCCGCCCCACCCGGCCTCCGCCAATCGCTGCCCCGGCCCTCCGCCGGCCTGGCCCCGCCCCTCCCTGGGATGCGCCAATCCCCGCCTTGGCCCCGCCCCAGCTCTGCCGGGCTCTGCCAATCCCCGCCTTGGCCCCGCCCCCCGGGAGCCAGCCCCGCCCCAGCTCAGCCCGGGGCCTCGCGCGTGGCCAGCTCTGCCGGGACAAGGGCCTAAGGCAGCGGGGCCGGGATTCTAGGGCAGCAGGGCGCCCCTCCACACCGTGCTCGCTCCGCCCCAGCGCACGTCTCTCTCCTCCGGTCCCCGCAGCCCCGGTAGCCACCTTGGATCCTTGGTCCCCGGGCTCTCGGCCGCTCAGACCTTCCCCCCGGGTCCCCGGGCCCCGTCACTGCCGCCCCCTCCAAGCAAGCGCGGGCAGCTGCGCAGAGCTCGCTGAGCTGCTCAGAATTCAGTTAGGAAGAGAAAAGACAAAGCCACGCAAAAAACTTCCAAACATCCTGCAAACCTTGAGGTCATAGCTCCTCCTGTAGGTTGAAAGGCGTCTCTTCCCTTAGCTGCGAATGTGACCTTGTTTGGAAGTGGAGTCTGCAGAGGTCACGCTGGCTTAGGGTGGGCCTAGATCCAGTGGGCCAGATCCTTAGGACAGGGAGGTTTGGAGACACGAACAGAGGAATACGCTGTTCTGAGCCGCCCATTCGGTGTGGCGTTATTCAAGCAGCTCTGAGAAACGAATGCACCACCAAAAGCATGAATGAATTTAGAGAAAACTTTGGCAAGTTTGACAATTTGGTAGAGCATTCTAACCACACTATTCATAAAATGGGACACCAAAAAAAGTGCTTCTAGAAACTACTATAAACTGAAAAGAATTCAATACGAAATGCTGATATTTGCTTATATTCACGAAATATATGCACTGACACATTTTAAAAATTTGGTGTACGAAGATTAAAAAGCTCTATTTCCACCAATGAATACAAATGCAGGCCAGGGGAAGTGGCTCTCCCCTGTAATCCTGGCACTCTGGGAGGCCGAGGCGGGAGGATGGGTTGAGGTCAGGAGTTGGAGACCAGCCTGAAGACCAGTAAGACCCCATCTTTACTAAAAATTGAAAAATTAGCTGGGCGTGGTGGCTCATGTCTGTAGTCCCAGTTACTTGGGAGGCTGAGGCATGAGGATGGCTGGAGCCCAGGAGTCTGAGGTTGCTGTGAGCTATGATGATGTCACTGCATTCTAGCCCATGTGGCAGAGCAAGACACTATCTCAAAAAAATAAAAAAAATACAAATGCCACTAAAGTATGTGTTTGAAAGGAAAGTTTTCATAATAATACGTTATATTCATTTAAAATATTTAACATTATTAGTTTTAAAAGTTTTTGGTGAATTGATAAGTTTGTTAAATTCAGAAAATTATGATAATAATTTAGGAAACTGATCGTCAGGACAACTGGCTCTCAACAAATTACTGCCTGTATCCAGAGTCATAGTGTTTGCAAACCTGAAATGCTGAACCCACTGCTACTGTTATAAAATCGAATGAAATATTAGTGTTGTGTGCCTGGAAAGGAGAGTGGTGTTTCTATGAAAATTCACTTGAAGGCTTTGGAAAGTCAACAAAGAAAATTCACTTAAAATTGCAATCAAGTTAGATGCAAGTGAGACGCTTGTAAAAGATTGTGGGAAAGGTTAGGCCAGGCGCGGTGGCTCACGCCTGTAATCCTAGCACTCTGGAAGGCCAAGGCGGGTGGGTCACTCGAGGTCAGGGGTTCAAAACCAGCCTGAGCAAGAGCAAGACCCCATCTCTACTAAAAACAGAAACAAATTAATTGGCCAACTAAAAATATATAGAAAAAATCAGCCGGGCTTGGTGGTGCATGCCCGTAGTCCCAGCTACTCAGGAAGCTGAGGCAGCAGGATTGCTTGAGCCCAGGGGTTTGAGGTTGCTGTAAGCTAGGCTGACGCCATGGCACTCACTCCTCTAGCCTGAGCAACAGAGTGAGACTCTGTCTCAAAAAAAAAAAAAAAAAAAAGATTGTGGGAAAGGTAATTTGTTTAATTCTAAAAGGATTCCTTCCCCAGATGGCTTCTCAAGTGCTGTCAAGTTCACATAAAGGATTAAACTGACACTGGAAGACAGAAACACGCACAGGGTGCTGCGGTGAGTATTGGAAATCAGCTGGCCCCAAACCTGTTGTCAGAGTAAAGCGGCAAATAGACATCCTACGTACCAAGTCAAAACCTAGGGTTTAAGGTGGGCGGGCAGTTTCGTGTGTGCGGCTCTCCTGCTTTGCACAGGTTTTTAGATTGACTAAACAATGGCTACAAACTTCAGCCTGTCTCAGACCCACAAGCGGAGCCTGGGAAAACACAGATTCCTAAGTCCTATCCCTAGAGTTTCCTGCGTAAGCCAGGCCCGGCAGGCCTGGGCATCTGCATTGCTAGCCAAGCCCCCAGATGATGTGGATGCCGCTGGAACTCTGGCCACACTCTGAGAACCACGGGGCTGTGCCGTGCACATGGGAACAGAGAGATGGTGCTGGAGGGACAGGGCAGGAAGGCCTCGAATGCCAGACCAGAGATGGACACAGCAGGACATTTCTAAGCAGGACGATGCCATCAGATGTGTGCTTTCAGTCGGAGGTTTTCAAGCCTTTTTGCCTGGGACCTACAGTAAGGTCCCACGACCAGCACAAACACAACTAGAACAAAGAGCTGCATGATAAGCTCACCCCACTACATGCAGGCACCCTAATATTTTCACATAGTCTACTCTTTTGTATCCCATTTCTACTAAAAAATAAAATGCTGGTCATGATCCACAGAAGTGATCTCACAGCCCACGTTAGTTGTGAATTAGCACAACTAGCTAATGAGTCAGGACTGACATTTAGAAAAGCACAGCACCTTAGAAAGCATATTCTGGCTACACCGTGGGAGGCTGAAAGGGAGGCTTCCCTTAGGAGGTTGGTGCCAAGTCCAGGAGAGAGGGGTGTGTAAGGTTTTCCAGCGACGAAACAAGCAGACAGAGAGAGAGTGGGGCCAAACAACGTGGCTTTATTGAGCACTCCCGGGCGAGGTTCACGGGTCCCAGGAAAATGGGGCTCGAGAAATCACACCCATTTGAAAGAGGTTAGGGCTTTTATGTTATTTGAATGAGGTTTGGGGACTTGGGGCGGGAAGAGCTGGGGTTTTTTCACTGTGACCTTCAGCTGTTATTGAGAAATAGGAGGGGCTGTCGGCATTTGTGGAATCCAGGAACCGACACTGTCTTACCCGGATGGACATCCAGGGGTTGTTGTGCTCAGCGGGGCCTGGCAGTTGTCCTTGGCGGCTCTGCTCTCATGAGCCTTTTCTTTTTGATCTAGGGAGGGGAGGGAGGCCCCGCCACCAGTCTTACAAGGTGGCCCAAACCACGTGTGGCAATGAAGTGAAGAGAGGCTTACAATGACTTGGTCACCAGTCCACTAGCTCAATGGCATAAGAACATGAGGTATCAGCTAGGAGACTTTGGAACAGAAAACCCACCTCAAACATCCTCCAACGATAAAAAGTGACTTGTTGGCTCATGAAACGGTCCAAAAGGAGGGACTTCGGGTTTGGTCTGACTCTGTGGCCCAGCAATGGCATCAAGGACCCAGCTTCTCCTGTCCCCTGAGCCTTCACCCAAGGCTGGCCTCCCCTTGTGGCCACGAGGGAGCAGAGGGACCTTCCAAACTGATGGGATTAAGACCACTGGGACCTAGGGATGCTCTGTCTGAGGCTGTAAGAGGATAAGAGGTGAAAGAATTGCCTGAGCAGAAGCCTGAAAATAAATGCAGATGTTAACTGCCTAGTTGGGGGACATATGTCAGCGATCTGGGAGTACAGAAAAGCATGCTCCAGTCTCAGAGCCTGAGGGGTCTTATGCACAAAAAGCCACAGGAGGCCTGACATGAAAACTTCCCACGGCTATAGAGGTAGATTGCAGTATGTCAGCCCAGAAGGGTCTCAAGGCTTCCATAGTGTTTGCACCCTGGGTCAAGCTCCTTCTCTCCCTCTCTCTCAACGATGCCTCCATTAATGTAAAACCAATCTCCCAGTGGGAAACAGGTAGTTTCCTTGTTTCTTGATTAAATGGGTCACAGCTACCGACATTAAAGATTGATATCCATGTACATAGCTTGAGCGTGGGATAACTCAGTTTAGCTCGATCAAAAGGGTTGTACCTACTGAAGAATTATGTTTTTCACTTCTAGAAAGGAGAAGGAAATTAGCTAAGGCACCTTGTGATTTTGGGGGGAGCCCCGAAACCTTTGATCATTGTATCCCATGATTTTTTCACATGAGATCATTGTATTTTACAACATGGCAAAGAGAATAAAAAGCAAGTGCTGGGGTTCAGTCACTGCCACCTTAGCACCGGAGTGCTGGTGGTCCCCTGACCTCCGCGCTTTCTTAACTATTATTTTTGTGTCTGTGTCTTTGTTTATTTTATTTCTTGCAACACAGTCTGCCAGGGGACCCTATCTTTATTGAGGACATCGTGAACCCCCGATACAAACTCCTCTCTTCTCCTGGGCTCTTAGTGGAGCCGAAGCCCTTTCCGGGCACAATCATAGGGGTATGGGCTTCACTGCTGGCTGGAGGCATTAGGGTCCACTCCTAGAGCTGGGGGACAGAAGTCTCCACCTGATTGTGTGACTGGCTCCATGAACAAATTTCAGAGACGCTGATATGTTTTTTTTTTATAATCCTCTCCTTTAACTACTTGACCTTTTGTTTCCCAGAAATGGTGGATTTTCTCCAAAACAAAGGAACTGACAGTTTGAAGGCCCCTGGGCAGAGTCCTGAGGCCAAGACTCACTGCCCCCCCAACCTGCCTCCAATGCACACAGCCCCTTGCTAGTCCAACCACACCCGTCCCAATGCACATGGCCCCTTGCTAGTTACACCACACCTGTCCCAAAGCAGGTGGCCCCTCCTTTAACAGCCCCTGATCTCCATTAGTAAGGGATAAGGATTTGAGGCAGCTTCTCCTGTCCTCGTAAGACGTCCTTCATATTAAAAATTCCTTTCTTCCTTGGCAATCCTTGTTGTCTCTATTGGATCTTTGTGTGCCCAGCAAGTGCACCTAGCCTGAAACCTCCTTGTGGTTTCCGTAACAATTGAATGGCTCCCATGAACTCTGGGAAAAAAAGAGAATTCCATTCCCTCTCCACCCCAGGAAAGTTGGAGTCCTTCCTCAACCAGGAGGAAGAGGGAAATGAATGCTGGTGAGGCCTCCACAGAGGTGACCTGGCTGCAAACAGTTATTTGAGTACTTAGCACAGGAGTGAGCCCAGGTTACCATAAAGACATGAATTGTGGAACCAGGGCCAGGCCGCAGCTGGGATGGAGACGATCTGGACACCTGGACAGATTGCACAGGTGGTTTGGCAGATTTATGTAACACCAGGTTGAGGGTGGGGTGGAGATACTGAAGGCTAGTTTCTGGCAGAAACATAAGTAATGAATGAGAAAGGTGTTTTTTAACTACTACGAGAATGAAATCGAAACTGTCGTAAGGAAACGTCTGCAGCACTGCGAGACAGCTCCTTTTCACTGAACTCCTTCTAAGAAAAACAACGGACACCAGAAAAATCGACGGAAGAGGCCTTAAATGCAACATCATGTGCAGCAGATGGTAGCAAATAAAGTTTAGAAAGTTACAGGGCGGACTCCAAAAGTTGGTAATTAATACAAAGTACAAGAAACGAAGGAAAGACGACGGCGGTTTTATTTGCATGAGCCTCGCTTTAGAGTGAATGCGAAAATAGGACGCAGCAGCCGTAACGTAAGCGCAGCGCGGTGCTGGGCAGCTAGGAACGCGGGGGCCATGGCCGCCGCGGCGTCCCGCCCGCACCTGCTCCACGGAGGGAAACGCAGCCCCAGCAAGGAGGGCGCCACGCTCCGGACCCAGAGCCAGCGAGCCGCGGCCCGGCCGGCCCGCCTCTCAGAGGAGCCAATCACTGGCCGCGGCCGCTCGGCCAGGCCAATAGGAGGGGGGGTAGGGCCCTGTGGGCGGGCCCCGCTCAGCACCCGCCTCGCTCCCAGCCCGAGTCTCAGAGGAGCCAATCTCTGGCCGCGGCCGCTCGGCCTGGCCAATAAGACGGGGGTACAGCCCTGTGGGCGGGCTCCGTTCAGCACCCGCCTCGCTCCCAGCCCGAGTCTCAGAGGAGCCAATCACTGGCCGCGGCCGCTCGGCCTGGCCAATAAGACGGGGGTAGGGCCCTGTGGGCGGGCCCCGCTCAGCACCCGCCTCGCTCCCAGCCCGAGTCTCAGAGGAGCCAATCAATGGCCGCGGCCGCTCGGCCTGGCCAATAGGGCGGTGGTAGGGCCCTAGTGGACGGGCCCCGCTCAGCACTCGCCGCGGCCCGGCCCACCCCGCTCCCGACCCGTACTCTCAGGGGAGCCAATCACTGGCCGCGGCCGCTCGGCCTGGCCAATAGGGCGGTGGTAGGGCCCTTGTGGACCGGCCCGCTCAGCACTCGCCGCCGCCCAGCCCACCCCGCTCCGTACTCTCAGGGGAGCCAATCACTGGCCGCAGCCGCTCGGCCCAGCCAATGGGGCGACGGTAGGGGCCTGTGGGAGGGCCCCGCTCTGCTCAAGCCGCGGCGGGGCCCGCCCCGAGGAGACCTCTAGGACCCGGGGGAGCCGGGGGCGCCGACCCCGGAACGGCCATGGGCCCGGGCGGAGCCGCACGCCGCGGGGCCGAGGCCGCCTCGCCCGCGCCGCCCCCGTTCGTTCGCGTCGCCCCCGCGCTCTTCCTCGGGAGCGCGCGCGCTGCGGGCGCGACGGAGCTGCTGGAGCGCGCGGGCGTCACCCTGTGCGTCAACGTCTCCCGCCAGCAGCCCGGGCCGCGCGCGCCCGGCGTGGCCGAGCTGCGCGTGCCTGTGTTCGACGACCCGGCCGAGGACCTGCTGGCGCACCTGGAGCCCACCTGCGCCGCCATAGAGGCCGCGGTGCGCGCCGGCGGCGCCTGCCTCGTCTTCTGCAAGAACGGCCGCAGCCGCTCAGCCGCCGTCTGCACCGCCTACCTCATGCGGCACCGCGGCCTCAGCCTGGAGCGCGCCTTCCAGGTGGGCGGGCCTTCCAGGTGGGCCGGGCTTCCGGGTGGGGTGCCTGCCAGGTGGGCGGGCTTCAGCCTGGAGCGCGCCTTCCATGTGGTGTGCGCCTTCCAGGTGGGCATGCCTTCCAGGTGGGCATGCCTTCCAGGTGGGGCGGGCCTGCCAGGTGGGGCAGGCTTTCCAGGTGGCGGGCCTTCCAAGTGGGCGGGCTTCAGCCTGGAGCGCGCATTTCAGGTGACGTGCGCCTTCCAGGTGGGCGTGCCTGTCAGGTGGGGCGGCCTGCCAGGTGGGGCAGGCTCTCTAGGTGGCGGGCCTTCCAAGTGGGTGGGCATCAGCCTGGCACGTGCATTCCAGGTGGGCGGGCCTCCCGCGCCGGGCGGGCTTTGGGGCTGGGAACTGCGCTTCCGGGTTGGGCGGTGCCCACTCCGGGGCGGCCTTCAGGGCACTGAGGGAGTTTTTAATTCACCTCCTGTCCGCAGACGGTGAAGAGCGCTCGCTCCGTAGCTGAACCCAATGAGGGTTTCTGGTCTCAGCTCCAGAAGTACGAGGAGGCCCTCCAGGCTCAGTCCTGCCTGCCCAGGGAGCCCTCGGGGACAGCTCTTCCCAGCAGCAGCAGAGCCACCCAGCCTTAGGGTGGTCCCTGAATCCTCAACAGGGCAAGTCTCAGGCCTGCAGCCCCGGGAGGGGAGGGGTGGGAAGGGGTGATCGGGCCCTGATAGGACGCCGGGGGCCTCCCCTCTTTCTTCACTGCCACACTGAGTTTGCATTTCCCCCCATTTAGCCTCATCTCCCTGAAACCCAGGGGGGGCCTCTGTCCCACTTGGTGGTGCAGGTGTGTGTGCACGGAGGAGGGAACTGCGAGAGCCCACGCCCGGAGACATACCGCCCCTCCCTCCCTCCCTCCCTCCTCCCCCACCCCCGGTTTATGAGACAGGCTTTGGTCAGGAAAATCTAAACCTCTTGAGGAATTTTAGGCAACTGGATGCAGGGAGATGGAGGCAGGTGTTTCAAGGACAGGAGGTCGGGGTCACAGGGGCCACCACCCGATCTGAGCTGCCTGTGCTATGACCTCCCAGCTCTCGAGGACGCCTGGAGCTGCCAGCACAACCTCCTGCCAAGCCACAGCACATCTTCCTCGCTCCTCCCAAACCTCTCGCTGGTCCCGTCTCAGAACTGAACACAGGGTCCCGGTGGCCGCAGGGCGTGGGCCTGGGGGCTGAGACTGGCCACTGCTGCTGTGAGAAGCAAGCAGCTGGAGGCTGTGCCAACAGACTGTGCCAACAGACTGCCCCGCTCGGGCACCCTTGGGGCCTCTGCACCCACCTCCCACCTGGACCTCTCTGCTTCAGTGACTTGCACAAAGCCACGGTCAAGCCAACGATGGACAGGCCTCCCCCAGGGTGGAGGACCCTGAAGGCCATCACCAGGTGCATCTCAGCACCTGATTCCTCTTCTAGGCCAGACAGAACCTCCCGGACATCCTCCAGCCTCAAAACTATCCTAGAAAATTAATCGCCATCAATGCTCCTTAAATAGACAGCGGGGAAAGAGAAAAGGACAACGTGGGTGATACGTATGAATTATGGACAGTGTGGTCCCAGGTTTATACATGCAAATATACATGTTTATATTCCGTACGTGGTACTGAGTAAACGCCGTGGTTGGTGTCCACCAATTCCCTTTTCCACTACTCACCCCACGTTCCCTCATCCTCAGCCGGTGCCTCACTGGTCACGGGCTCTACCTGGCGAAGGACCTGGGCCCTGAGAGGCCTGCTGCACAGGTGCCGTTGCCTCCTTTACTTGCACCGCCCAGCCTGGGAGACCTGGGAGCCACCGTCCAGCCCCCACATAGCACAAAGCCCCACTCACTGCCCATTCAGGGTTGGGGTCAATCGCTCCAGGCAGCCTGTTTTGCCTGATGCTTCGTGGCCTGGGGAGCCCAGATTGCTCAGTGGTGTCTCAGCCTCCTGCCCACTGGGACATGGTGTGTCTGTCCCCAGGTAGAAGCATCCTCCCTGGGAACAAAGGCCCCTGACTCAGCAGAGCCCAGGGTTGGGGAAGGGAAGCACACGATTGTGAACAAGGCACTGGGGTGGGGGGGGCAGGGAGGAGGGACTTGGCCCTCCTGGACTTGGCTTCTGGCTGTGACAGGAATGACTCTATTGACTGGTCACTGGTTCAGATCACACACCACACCTTGTGGGTTGACACCTGCCTTGCACAATGTCACCGGCCAGCAGTGCCAGCCCTGCGGGCCTCGGACCCTGTCATTCAGAGACTGCTGCTCACGGTAGCTTACCTGACCCAACTTCATGGGGGCTCACCTGGGCTGCGCTCTCTCCCCCTAAGGGACCCTAAGTTGACTCCCATAGGGAGCTGCTGTCGCTGCCTCCACCTGGCAGGTGGGCCGAGCAGTTCCCCAGTGAAGTCAGAGTGAGGCTCTGGGCCCAGGGGTTTGCCCGGCTGATCCCAGCTCACAGCACCTTCCATGGGGATTCTGGGCGCCCTCGCCTCAGGGCAGGGCACAGACCTGACCTCTGACCTGGCCCCTGGGAGACAAGGGGACAAGGGTGGCAGGGCCCAGGCCAGGTTGAAGAACATCTGTGGGTCACATCAGATGCTTTTCATCCCACCAGCTCTAAGAACTGTCCACTGTGGCTCCCAACAGAGGCCCAGATCCCCCAGGGCCCAGGGACAGGCTGACCCCATCTGAACACTACTTCCTGGGAAGCCTTTGCTGCTGCCCTCCCGCCCCCGTGACCACTGCAGCCCTCCCATCTCCATGCCCACCTAGTAAGTGAGGCCTAGTAGTTGAGGCCAGGGACCCCGCCCTCCCTCAGGCACCAGCACACATTAATGAGGGGGGCCTGGTCCCTGTGCAGGCCAGGGTATAGGTGGTGAATCAGTTGCTTCACTGCCCCAGGTCACCAAAATGCTGGAGTATGAAAATACCCGAGGGAGAAACCTGGGAGTCTCACAGTCTGGACTTCAAAGTTCCTCTGCCCCAGGAGTGAGGAGAATCCCTCGGGCAACCCGGATGGGCATCTGTGGGCAGCTGACCTCCTCCCCCTCCCCCAGGCCTCGGTGTAAAGCCGCCTGGTGCCGCCAGGGCGCTCCAGGCAGGCTGCGGGGGTGGGGGGTGGGGGGGGATGGGGGGGTGGCGGGGGTGTCTTGCTGGCTGGCCAGCTGCAGGGGGCACTGGAGGCTCCTGTGGGGTTGCAGGTGGCAGTAACCCGCCTTCACCACTCACCACGCTTCCTGCACCATAGGGTGTCTCGGTGGGCTGACTTTAATGCTGCAGAACATCTTTCCACTCCCTGAAGACGGGCTTGTGTTGACCCTTTATATACCTGAGGGATGGAGGCATTCCTCCCCCCTGCCCTGGGGAGGTGGAACAGATCCCCTGGACCTGCCGGGCTGCCCACTGCCCCGCTCCTGTGTGCAGAACTGGCCTCAGCGAGGCAGGTGCCCCAGGCTCTCCAGAAGAGAAGGGATGAGACCCCAACTCCGGCTGCCCAGAGTCCACCTGGGGAGACGGCTGGAGAGACTGCTGGGGCGCCCAGGGTGGCAGGACCCAAAGCTCCCTGGTAGGAAAGGCAACAAGGCCCCTGATGTGAATTTACCCCAGGGGTGGCCAGGACAGGCCAGTGTGGCACCCCTTACATTTGCAGACCTTACGTTTTCCAGCTCCAGCCCCATGGCCCAGTGGGCCCTGAAGAGTCCAGTGGAACTGGGAGTACCACCAAGGCCACCACCTGGGCAGGAGGCAGGGTCCCACTCAGTCCTCTCCCCTCCTAAGCCTTGGATGCAGGACTGACCCTGACCTCTGAGTGACCCTGTGAGCCCCTGGTGAGTTTGGGATGGGGGCCCTAAGGAGGCGACTGTGTCCCTCAGCTGAGAGTAGGGCATGTGGGGACCTGAGGTCACAAGGGAAAGCTGCAGCGATGCCTCAGTGCTCAGCGACACGTCCATGAACTCATGCTGACCCCCTCAGACGTCCTTCCCCCATCCCGGGAAGGGAGGTCACAATCACATGGGCTGCAGATGGGGACTGAGTCCAGACGAAAAGCTACTCAGTGCTGACGCTGCGGTCGAGCGCAGAGTCTGAGTCAGCACCACACCGTGCCGCACCTGGATGGAGCAGAGGAGACAGGTGTGTGGGGTCCCTGGATATTCCTCCAGCCCCCAAGCCCTTTCTCCCTAAGAAACTGGATTTTCTGTGATGACAACAGCCACATCCTGGCTGCCCATCTTACTCCACCGCGGCCAGGTTCCCCACTGCTCTGTGGGCAGCTCCTGCCAGTGTGAAGGCCACCTGCGGGTCTGCAGCCCTTCCCTGGGGGTCCCAGGCCCCTGGACAGGCTCAGCCCTGGGCAGCCTTTCCCAGGCCAGCAGAGAACACAGGCAGGAAGCCAGGTGGCAAGGTGGGGCGGGGGCAGGCAGCCGGGTCTGCCTCAAGGCCCCCTGCGCTGGGCTCGGGGGCAATGGGTCCTCCGCGCCCTGCCGGCCCTAAAGGCAGCGCTGCCCAGCGGAACGCTCTGTGATACTGGAAGTGAGTCAAGTCTCTGTCTAACAGCCACCCCGGACCCCCCACACGGAGAGTATTTGACAGCGCAGCCTTAAGGCTCCGGGGCTCCATCACACGGCTCAGCCGACCACACAGACCGCCCTGGTTGACTCGGGGTTACTATGAGAATCTGTCCTGGGCCCGAGGCCTCCGAAGGGACCGATAACATTGAAGTCCACCGACGCGACACTCCCGGGACACACAGACCGCGCGGAGAGGAAGCCGTGAGCCCGGAGTCCCCAAGTGTAGCCGGTCCCGGCAGCTGCTGCCCCAGGAGCCTGGCCCGCAGCGTCGGGGTGGGAGCGGCGATCCCGCCTCCTGGGGTCTCCCCTGCGCCGCCAGGATAGGAAGCGCGGAGCGCAGGGCTGGGGAGACCACTCAGCTGCTCCGCGCGCCCGGCCCTGCGCACAGCGCACAGCGCCCCGGCTCGGCCCGGCCCAGCACACAGCGTCCCGGCACGGCCCCGCGCACACGCCCGCTCCCACCAAGCGCCGGCGGCTCCCGCCCCCCGCGCCAGCGCCCCTCCAGCCAGCCCCGGCCGGCCTCCCGCCTCGCGCACAGCGCCCCGGCTCCCCACGCCGCCGGCTCCCCGCCCGCCCACAGGCCGGCGCGGCCGAGCGGAGCCGAGCGGGGCGGCGCACAGCGCGGGGCGGGCCGGGCGGCTCCCGGCGCGACTTCCTGTTGTCCCGCGCCGCCGCGGCGCCGCGCCCCTCGCCGCTCCCGCGGCCGCGCGGCCGCCGCCCATGGATTTCACCTAGCGCCGCGGCCATGGCCGCGCAGTGCTGCTGCCGCAAGGCGCCGGCGCCGAGGCCGCGCCGGCCCGCCCGAGCCGCCGCCCGCCCTGGACGTGGCCTCGGCCTCCAGCGCGCAGCTCTTCCGCCTCCGCCACCTGCAGCTGGGCCTGGAGCTGCGGCCCGAGGCGCGCGAGCTGGCCGGCTGCCTGGTGCTCGAGCTGTGCGCGCTGCGGCCCGCGCCCCGCGCGCTCGTGCTCGACGCGCACCCGGCCCTGCGCCTGCACTCGGCCGCCTTCCGTCGCGCCCCCGCCGCCGCCGAGACGCCCTGCGCCTTCGCCTTCCCCGCCCCCGGGTCCGGGCCCGCGCAGCCGCCCCCGCTGCCCGCCTTCCCCGAGGGGGCCGGCGCCGAGCCCGCCTGCTGCCCGCTGGCCTTCAGGGTGGACCCGTTCACCGACTACGGCTCCTCGCTCACGGTCACGCTGCCGCCCGAGCTGCAGGCGCACCAGCCCTTCCAGGTCATCCTGCGCTACACCTCGACCGACGCCCCCGCCGTGAGTCCGGGTGGGCGCCGCGGCTGTGGGCCGAGGGGCTTAGCTGCACCTTGCCCTGGGCAGGCACCCTGCCCTGGGCACTGGGAGAGGGTGGGGGCAGCCTGGCCTGGAGCCCTGTCCAGGTGCCCACAGTGAGTGCCAGCTGTTGCCTGCGAGCCCTTAGGAGCCTCGGATACAGCTCCTGGCCCTGTGGGCAGTGGCGACAGGGGACAGCCTGCCGCCCGGGGAGGCCTCTGGTTCAAGTGTTGTGTCTCTGCCTGGGGACAAGAGCAGTTTCTGGCACCTGCCAAGCCATACATCTGGAGCCCGGCAATGAGGGGCGGGCAGGGGGGTTCCAAGGGTTTGAGGACACCCAGGTCTGTTCAGTGGGGGTGGAATGAGGGACAGACATGTGTCTGAGCGGGAAGCAGAGGAGGAACCGTGCAAGCTCTGATGCCGGGCTTTGGGCTCCCCTGGCCAGGACTGGCGGGGCACTGAGGACAGAGGGCCCCACAACCCAACACAGACACACGCAGGCTCTGCAGGGCTTTGGGTACCAAATGCTCACCCCAGAGGTCCTGCTGGAAAAGGCAGGTGGCTGCAGCACACACACACCCCCCCACCTGCCCGCACACGCCTCGGCCAATGGCGGGGCTCATAGGATGGAGCAGGGCCCTCCCTTCCCACAGCGTGGGGTTCATGTCCAGTCCCTGCTGGTATGGACAGACCCCGGGTGACACCCTACGTGCATCCACGACACACACAGCTCTGGAGGCCCTTGGAGGTCCCCTCTGTCACTGCCCA